CATGAAGCTTTGCCCTATTTCTGTCCACCTCTGGAAGCCTATATTACCACCTAACCTTGAGTTAACCACATTTAAGTATTTGCATACATGTGTCTAGGGGAAGCATAACTTCTGGTCTATGCTTTAATGCATAGGACTAAAAAAAAAAAAAAATCCCAGCCAGGAAAGTATAAAATTTGATTTGTGTAACTAGTAGGATTTGGTTTTATGTAAAAATCATTCTTGCTGTCTTTGCATATGTGAATTAAATCAGATTGCCAGTGTTTTTCACCCATGGATGCATACTGGAATCACCTGAGGCACTTTACTGACACCTGAGTCCCACTCCAGAGGGTTCTTCTGCAATTGATCTGGGATGACCTGAGCGTAGTGGGGTTTTAGCGTCCCAAGTGTTTTCATGTACAGCTGTGGCTGAGAACTTCTGCATGAGGGATTTTCAAGCCAGAATTCTCCATAGAAACTTGTAAAGAAGGAATGTAAAAGTTTGTATTTACAATAGAAAAATCAGAGTTTAATTCTGCCTATTAAGTCAGAATATTTCAAAGACTTGAATTGAGATCTTATTGCTTATGTAAGCAAACAAGGTTAGCTGTGGTTTAAAAATATAGAAGCAATCTCTTGTTAATACCAACACTGAATGAAAATTAGATTGACTGAATAAGGAAAGCATTTAAAAATTTATTTGACCCTAACATTTTTTAATTGGCATAAAATACACAGAACTTTTAATGTAGTAAGTCTTACGCAAGAATGTTGGAGAGACCTGGAACTTGAATTTGCATCCCAAAGTAGATGTTAGTGTTCAAGGGAAACAGGCAGCTCTGGTATTCTAAAACTTGGTCATGCCTGACAGCTACCATTTCAACCAAGAATGAGTTGCATGTTTTAACAACTAGGGTACTTGATCTTCAGAGCAGAACTTTAACAGAGTCTGCTAACTTGTGGAAATGATGCAGACTTGGGTAAATTCAATACATACGAGTTCCCCTGCCCCAAGCTAGGGGGTGAATTTCTAGGCTTATCCAGGAAAGTTTATGCTGAGGAAGGCTAAGCCTTTGAGACCGTAGCGCTACTGCCCTCCTGTGGACGGTTAAGACATTAGGTAATCGTTCCTCACCCGTTCAACGTCATTAATTGGAGGTGGTGGTGCTGTAATTACCAGACGCCATTTTTAATTTTTTTGGATCTTGTCTAAAACTAGCTCTGTGAATTAACATTTTTAAAAGGTTAAACTCTGTCCCTTATGCTTAAATGTGGGGTAAATATATTGGGTTGGGGGTCCCTGTGGTTAACAAACTACTTTCATTCCCTCACTAATTTGCTACAAGGACAGATAACACTGGAAAGCTACCCACCCTGATTCCTGAATTGACTGTACAAAGTCCAAGAAAACCTGTGTAGAGGTAGTAAAACTGATGTTAGGGGAAGCCATGTAAGCTGATAAAATCTAGCTCCCTTTAGCTTTTAAAAACCTATTATTGTATGTTGCAATGGCAATCCCTGTGCCAAACTCCTGGAAACCAGCAAGTGCTGGCATCCTAGGGCTTTTGGCTTCCCTGAGAATGCTCAGATGAGCACATATGTACAGTGTTTGCAAAATGCTATCATCTCATTACCCACCTTCACCTGCAAAGACCCCTGGGAAAAATACATATTTGTATTTGAAGTGGATCTTAATTCTTGAAAATTTCTTGGCTAGGATCCTATGTTTCTCAAATTTTAGTGTGCAGGTTAACCACACAGTGATCTTGTTAAAAAGCAAATACTGATTCAACAGGTCTGAGGTCAAGCCTGAGGGTCTATTTGTTTTGTTTATAACAGAGACTGGTCTTGAACTCATGATCCAAAGAAGGCCTCAGATCCCCCAAGTACATACCACGCCTGGGGGAGGTTCTGCATTTCTAATGAATTCCAGGCATTGCTGTTTGTGGTAGGCTATACAATGGCCCCCAAAGATATCCAAATCATAATACCTGAAACTCATGAATATTACTTTATATGACAAAGGGTCTTTACAAATCCTACTATGGTTCTTAAAGTGGGGAGATTATTCAGGTGGGGCTCTAAGTGTAATCACAAGGGCCCTTAAAAGAGGAGGTAGAAGATTTGTCTAGGGCAAAAGACAATGTGACCATAGAAGCAAAATGTAACACTGCTGGCTGGCTTTGAAGGTGGAGAAAGGCATGCAAGTGACAGACTGCAACCTAATCTAGATGCCAAAGAACGTAAGAAAATGCTATTCTCTGCCCTTCCAAAGGGTTTGTATCCCTGCTGATACCTTCATTTCAGTCCAATGAAACAGAACTGATTTCAGTTCTAACCTCCACAATTGTTAAGAATGTGTTTTAAGACATCAAATTTGTGGTCACTTGTCACAGCAACTGCAGGAAACACAACACCAATGCTGGCAGTCCTCACTGTGAGTGCTCTTCCCAAATGAACACTGTCAAGTGGCACACAACCCTGGCCACACACTAGAATCATCCAGGAAACTTTAAACTATGAGATGTGATATCCAGGCCCCATTCATAGATCTGCTAAACCAGAGCCTACAGGCAGTGGACCCCAAGATCACTCACTGAAAGGTTCTTTGGGTGATGAAATAGAAAGCCAGAGTGGTGCACTACTGGATTAGAATAAGCCTGAAATGTAACTTCTCTTGTATTCAGGAAAAACTTTCAAGAGTCAGGCATGGCAGCTCATGCCTATAATCTTCACTACTACTACTTGGGAGATCAGGAGGATCAAATTTAAGGCCAGCCTGGGCAGAAAAAGTTAGACCCTATCTGAACCAATAAATATCTAGGCACAGTGGCTTGCCTGTGCCTATTATCCCAGCTCCATGGTAAGTATAAATACGAGGACCATGGTCTAGACCAATGAGAACATAAAAGTGAAACTCTATTGGAACTTAAGCAAGAAGGCGCACTGGTTCAAGTGGTAGAGTACCTGCCTAGCAAGCTCAAGCCCTCATTCAATCCCAGTACCACAAAAAATAAATAAAACCTCTTAGGCTCCCCCAAAAGTATGGATACATTAGTCTGCTAGATATTCCTGACACTGCACACTGCTTCCAAAGTAAAGGCCCGGACCAATGACTTACATAAACAATCACCAGGGTGTAGACTTCACTAAATTGGTTAAAGATTTCACTCGACTCCTTACTAAAGACATGTACTTTCATGGTTAGGAATTATCTACCAGAACAGGCTGCATGAGCCTTGAATGTTAATAACTCCTCTTCACTTATAAATTTAGAGCTAAAACATCAGGTAAACCTTAGGTAATGCTCTGACAATGTATTTTCCACTTACGTTGACAGCAGGACCTCATAAACCCAATTCAGGGCGGTGGCACCAGAAGAAGTATTCTGCATTAATTACCTACTTATTATGAAAAGCCACCTGAGAATGGCAAGTTCAGGTAATGGGCTATAAGCATCCAGATGTATATATTTTTTCAAAAAATCCTATTTGTGAGTACCCTAGTTACATTTTGCTTCTCATAACCTAATAAGAAACATTAGGTTTAATTTTAAACATTATTGTAATGTTTAAAATAAGTATTCAACAGGATACCTATAAACTTCTTTTATGGAAAAGAGACTGCAAATCATCTTTTATGCTTTGACACTAAACTCAATCTTCTAGCTCTTACTCATTTAAAGACTAGAATCGGGGCAACCTGGGCTTCCCCCAACAAAGAACCATGTCTTTTTTTGTATTTGCAATACAAGTAAATAGAGTATGGGACATGATGAAGCAAAAATAGTTTAATGTACAGTTAATACCACAGAGCCAAAACTATCCCACCTGCAAGGTGCTGCTATAGCCTACTTCAGTGGGGAGGTCAACACAACAGTGCGACTGAGGGTCTTAACTATTCCCACCACCACATCCTGGGGATTAGAACATGGATTCATCAATTGAGAGCCTGAAATAGCTCTGCAGCTGCAGGATGCATCACATTCACCGGGAAGTCTTCCCAGCAAATGCTTCATCCGCCTCCCACCCCAGCCCACTGGGCAGGGCAGCCATCTGGGGGAAGACTGGTGGAATGTGGGCCCAGAAAAGGCTCCCTAGGCAGCTGATTTGCCACCATTTATGGAGACACACTGACTTGAAATAACTACAGGTAGTTCATAGCTAGCCATGAAACTCCTGTGGAAAAAAACTGGTCAAGGAGCTATCGCCTTCCTTCCTGAAGATTCTCCAAGCATGATTTCCTATGAAGTCAAATCTGGTTAATCTCTGAATAGTTTTATAAAACTGGCTCACCCTGTCTTCAAGGGTTGAAATAAACTATCAGCCAAAAGTAGAACTCCATCTGTTATAACGCACTGAAACTAGAGCTGCTCCCCTTTAAGGGCCATGTGACAATGTTTGGTGAAGCAAGCTTCCTGCAGCAATACTGACAGGCAGGCACAGGGGCTGTGTCCACAACTCCCTTGGAACTGAGAACAGTTTTCCTATTCAGTAAGTAACATCCCTTGGCCTAGATCTTCAGCATTTTTTCTCTTCCCTAATCTTTCTCTCACTTTATTTCTTGGCTCATAGAACCTTTCTTGTCTTAATGACCTTCACATTTAATGTCTGTCTGCTGTAACCTACTTCAAATTCCTTATGAAGTAGGGAGGCTCTGCACAGCCAATTAATTTTTCAGGACCCACTTCTAATCGTCATGGAATTATGAATGGAAAATAATAGATGAAAAACGCAGGCATGATAAATTGAATATAGTAAATTATTTATTAAAGTCAGGATGCAGGAACAGAATCTTCTTAACAGAAAGATAATTCAACAGCAGCCAATTTATACAAGGTACAACAGTATTACATTTCAAAAAATCCAACTAAGGACATCAGATCAATTATAGCGATTTGTTTTTAAAAATCCATTAAACTATCTCTTACCTCTGCAATAACACATCACAAATACAGTTAAAGAAGTCAGTAAGGAAAGTGTGATCTTCCTTGCCCATTCTGCCCATCCATCTTTCAGAAAACCACAGGCTGCTGCTGAACAGACTTGGCATGAGGCTTCGAAGTTGCTGCTTTTCCCCCTACATCATAACCGATTTCAAATGGTGCTAGACAAAAACAGACTCTGAACACCAGGAGAAATCGGTCAGCCTGTGTAAGAGATGGGCCAGTGGTGCTCCTCAGGTCTGCACCTCAGGGCAGGTGGCAAGGCTGAGTTCAGGATACTACGACAACCGGCGAGTACTCCAGGCATCCTCTGGGAGCAGGTCAGCAGCGCTGATGTGGATGAAACAGCCCTCTAGGTACACAGCCCTTTCCCCTCCCTGTTACAATCAGCACCTAATACATCACTGCCCATCTGGACAGTACAAGCACTGCGCTCAGAGGCCCTACCCACATGTTAGTGACAGAGATGGTCGCTAACAATCAATGGAAAAGATTACCGCCTCTGCCCCTGCTCAAGCCACTGCATTTATTTTAAACACCAACTCCTTCCCACTGCCACCCCTCCAACACTCGAGTGGCTTTTGCTGTTCAACTCTTCCCTTGTCTTCTTAAACAGGTTCAAATAGCAAAAGGAGACGAACCCATCCCAGGAGCAGCTCCTCTGGAGTCCGCCTCTGCCATGCTGCAATTCTTACTCCTAAAACACTGATTTCAAATGGTGCTAGATACAAAGATGGAAAAATCTAAGCCACCATGTGAAACCAGCTTCCAGAAGAAGAGGATCTCACTGAAGAACGCAGGGAGGTGCAAGTGGACGACCCAGTCTCTGCCCTGAGGAGAAATATCTTCTTGCTGTTTGTTCTGCTTGTAACACGATGGAACGACCCGTTAGAAAACACAGAGGGGAGTCACACAGTGCTGCTCAAAGCAACAGCAAAGTCATGGCCAATGCTCCAAACAGACAAGAGCAATACAACACTCGCTAATTCTAACTTTACGACTAGCCACTATACATTATTACGTATGATAAAATAAAGCCACTATTGAAACATTTACATTTGTAGTGCCCTGCATTTATATAGGATTTCCCAGCATGCAAAGTGTTTACAGATATATTATCTCACAGTACCAGGACACAAGCACCCTACATGCTCTCTAGCAACCACTCAACAAAGGTGAGTTTCACCTGTGCCAGGGCAATTCTTCCATGTGCCCTATTCAGACAGAGCATGGCTCCTCCTTCCCATCCTGTATGTAAGTATCAGAATATTCAAATATGACTCCATTAAGTGCCAATCTGATTTAACCTCTGGGAAGACTTAAAGAGCTAGTATCCTATCATTGCATTACAAAGATAATTCTCTAACACAAAAATTAAGTTTTGTTTTAAAATTTGCCTGAAAATAAGGTTTACTTACTAACCATGTTCCAAATTAGATTTCGTCTTTCCCATTATCTTTTTTTTTTTTTTTTGGTGATTTAACACTAAGAAAATATGTGTGCTTCACGCTGATGTCATAACCCAGAGAAAGAAAAGAAAAAGAATAGAAGCTGCATGTTTTAGGTTTCCTACCAACTCTTTAGGCCTCCAGATATAGGCTTAACTATTTTATGGTAACATTGTGCAGCTATGGGAGGAAAGAAATGAACATCAAGATTTGTGTGATTTAATTTTCACAAGAGTCCTGCAAAGTGGGTTTTGTTCCAATTTTTACAGAACAAAAATATATGGCTTGTCTACAGTCATAAGATCAATAGATAAATATCCCAGGTCTGATTCCCCAGTCTGTGTTCCTGCATCTCTGCCCCCTGCTGCCAGCTCCATAGCTTGACTATCACCTAATTTTCGGCAAGCTATGGGAAGGGGGAATGTAGGTGAGGCAAGGTATCAGCATGGAAGTTGGATATTGAATATATAACACATTATACCCAGGTGAATTAGGGGCATGATTTTGGTTCTACAAGGAGTCAGATGGTTGAGGGGAGCCAGTCTTTCCTCTCCTGCACCTCTGGTAACTCTGTGGTCCTCCCCAGCAAGAGGGAAGATGCCAGCAATAAATCCACCCTAGTGATTCTGACACAGCAATAGGCTATGCAGCCTACGCTGAGATTTTCTAAGGGCTTGGTGACAGGTGGGAGAGCTGAAGGGCAGATCTGCGTACAGGTGCTCTGAGTGATGACATCTGGAACCAGCTCTGAGGCTTTGTGAACCAGGTGGCATCGAGGGCTCTAGGGTCAGGGGTGAATGTTACACATGATGGCTATTACCAGGATCTAAATCCTGTAGAATGAGGGGGGCTAGAGAGATTTACACTTGATTATTCTCAGTTTTTCTACTCTTCATTTTAGCCAAACTCTCCCTTAGTAACTTCCTGTTGCCAGTATCTACAAAGCCCCTTCCCGTGTACTTGCACAGGTGTTCTGCAGGAATGCAGAAGGTATGCTTCCTTCTACAAGGCCCTGCCTGTGCTGTGCCCTCTGGCTGGAATCTCTCCATCCACTCCCTCACCTACCACCCCCAATCATCCTTCAATCTCAGCTCAAGCAAGCCACCCCCGAGTCTAGCCTGGTTTGCTCTCCTGAAGAATGCACCTACCTCATTTGGTAGTCAGTGTGATGTTGAACTATTGTCTCTCCTGCTACCCAGGAAATGAAGCTCCACGCCAGAATTCAGGGAAAGTTCTGTGTCTAGCAAGAGAGCAACTATCAGAGAGAACCAACAGACGGCAGTCAGGGGCCCATTCTTGGGTTCTAAAACCTAACTCCTAGTTCTGGAAGAAGAGGTAAGAAGCCATTGGCAGTGCACTGCTTTACACTAAAATAAGAAGGGGAGGCTTGTGGAGTGGTTCAAGTGGTAGAGCGCCTGCCTAGCAAGCATCAGGCCCTGAGTTCAAACCCCAGTACCACCAAAAATGGGGGGGGAAGTAATCCTAACATACAAATCTTTTGCCTTTCCAATCCCATTGGTAAAAGGGTCACTGAGGTCTCAGTTCTCCCATCAGAAGTGGGGATCTCTCCTCTTGAAGTCAGCTGAGCAATGTCTCTTCTCTGAAACAAGCTGGCAGGTCTTCATTAGTTGAGGGGTACCCAGGTAATCTGACTAGGACTACAAGGGGGCCTAGCTCTCCCTGGGACTGAGCCTGAGGGCCACCTAGATCTGTAAGAAGATATCCCATGAAATCCCCAGTCCTCTGGAGGCTCTGCTATCCCATGAGAGCAATGGAATTTACCCCCATCCCTGCCTAAGGAGCCCAAGCAAACTGGCCATGTTGAAGGGCTTGGGACTGCCTAAGAAAGTAAACCACCCATCCAGGGAGTGGGGCTGTCAGGCCTAAGAAGTGCCACTGGGCAGGGAAGAAATCCGGGGGAATCATACCCCAGCCCCAGCCTTCTTCTATACCCACATTCCATCTGGTGGCGTTTCTCCCTCCTATGCCAGGATACTCTTCTACCCAGGTAAGGACCTGAAGGTGAAGGAACTTCTGCTTGGCCCAAATGCCAAGAACAGGGCCCTGCCACTTGCCCCGAATAAGCCTCGGTGTCTTTACTTGTAAAAAGGAGGCTAGGACTGGTCACCACACATGCAAATGCTCAGAGGGCTTGGGCAAGAAACACAGAAAGGCAGCAACAGTTTGCAGCAAAGATACAGTGACCTGGAGGGGCCATATTCTGTCTAGAAGCATACAAAATCAGGTATAGAAAACAAAACAAAAAAAATGTGCAAGCCAAACAAAACACACCTGCGGGTTAAACACTTCATGGGCTGTTGGTTAAAAACAAAGATTCCAAACACCATTTCTACTTTATTGTATAAATGATGCTGTGTTTTTTACAATCCTAAATATCCTGGGCCCAGCACAGTGTCCAGAAAAATTACCTGGGAGGAAAACGGGAAGGAGAGGGACTCCTTGTTTGTGAAATCCATAAGCAAACCCGCTGACCCAGTGATGTTCGCCCTGGGAACCTCATCCTGTTCGCCCTGGGAACCTCATCCTGCTCGCCTGGCTGTGCTGGCCCAATGTGTTCCTACGCAGAACGTGGGAAGGTTCCTGCCAAGGCAGCAGCTTCTCCCTCCTGACCTAGCACTGGGTGCTGAGTCACAGCTACTTACGTGACTGATGCAAGCTCCAGCCAGAGTGGGGTGACTGATGCAAGCTCCAGCCAGAGTGGGGGAGGGTGCCGGAAACTGAGCCCATTGTCAGTCTTCTTGCCTCTGGGAAGGCTGGTCTAGGGGTTCCTGGTGATGGTGGGATGGGGTGTAGGGAAGGTTTTGCTTTTTGAAAAAAATAGGGGACACCCTGCTCTCCAGACAGCCCCAGACTATTGTGTATGAGAACTGAACAGGCCGCTCAGCTTCCTGTCACTCTCAGCAGCAGCCCAGGCCCAGTGTCCCGGACATTTTGTCTTTAGCTGTCAGGGTAGGGCCTGCTGCCAACAAGCTGTGGTTAATGAATCAGAGGAAGGGTGATAAAATGAAGAGTATATGCTGAGGGTAACATGGGTAGAGAGGAACATAGAGCTGGATGGCCCAAAATTCAAAAAGGAGGGCTCAGCATTCAGGACCACTGCACTTTTGAGGCACTGAATTCCAAAGTGGGAACAACATCTTGAGAGTGAGCTTCTCAAGAGCCCACTTAGGTAACAGTGGGCCCAGCATCAGCTTTCCTGGCTTCCCTTAGCTCAGAGGGATGGAGGTCTATGTTCCGGGGCAGCTGCACTCCTAAAAGTTAGGCTTCTGTCCCTCCACACTACTGACTGACCAAACCCGGGTCTTAAAACCTCCCAGACTCAGTGTCTGGCACTTCGGCCCTGTGTCCAGACACCGGCTAGAGAGGAGGGTGCACCATGGTTGCCCTGCCCAAGATGAGATGGGCATGGGGGCAAGCTGGGAACAGTGGGGAGCAAGGGAGGAAGGAAGGAAGGATGGAGCCAAGGCTGGAGCTCAATATTCCATGCTCCCCTGGCTACAGATAGGGCTTAGCTCTCACAGGGGAGGATGGGCACTGCCCAAAATGCTTTCAAGGAAGCCATAGCTTTTTACGAAAGGAAAGGTGAGTATGCCGATGGTCTGTTACACAAACACAATGCCCATCACACAGTTCACAGGTCATAGACCAACGTGCTCCAAAGGAAAACCACCAACGCCCCTCCGTCGTCGTCATCACTCCCTACTCATCTATTTGGCTCAGTGGAGATGGACACAGAAGTTAAACTTGGGCCTCAGGTGAGACCTAACGAACTCTACAGACAGGAGCAGAGGTGCCCCAGAGCCCAGCCTTCCTACCTGCTCCAGGCAGAGCTGCTCACCCCCACCTTTAGCTGACAAGAAGTAACCAACAGACACAGTGTCCTACCCAGTACCACACTCACAGGGCTGCGTGCGAGGTCCCCAGAAGCTCCTCTGGAGCCTGCCAGGCCTCTCCGGAGGAGAACAGCACCTCACACAGGACAGGACATACAACAGTCAGACATCCTCCCCAAAGCACAGCCCAAGGCCGGCACCAGGAAGCCAGAGTGGATCCACCAACCTCCCAGGAGCAGTTCTAAGCAGTGCCTGGGCACACACCTGGCGGAGCACATGGTCTGGGGCACACCCTGTGAGGTGGAGTCACTCCAGTTCCCCAGCTGGGGGAGGGAGGCTGGGCCAGGCAGAGGTAGGTCTGAGTCCAAAGCCAATGCAAGCCGGTTTCTCTCCTGCTTCCCCTTTGGCTGGCCCAGCTGTAGCTGCACGTACATTGCTATTACAGCCTCATTCTGTTATCGGGACCTCTGTTTGCCAGTCTCAAGAACAGTGAGTAGCAGTAGAGGGAAGAGGAGGAGGAGGAGGAGGGAGGGGTACAGGGAAGAAGGAAGGGAAGGGAGAGGAGGTGAGAGGAAGCTTCATGGTCTAATGCATTCCCCTCACTTGAGAGACAGGGGAACACACACAACTTCCCCTTTTTAAGTGCTTCTCTGCCCTCCTTTCATTTCAGTTCCTTCCCCTCTGGACTGGGGATGGCCCAGCGAGTGAACTAGGCAGGGGCAGGCGCCCAGGTACCCAGCCAACTGGGCTCTCGCCCGGCTCCAGCTCAGGCCTGGCACGCTCCCTGGGGCCGTTACCCGGCATGCCCTTCTCCTTGTTGGGAGGCCTCGCCCTCTTGTTTTCAAAGTTTTATAACAGTATTGTTTGTTGTCCAGCAGATTAAATTCTTTAGACGCTGGGGGGGGGGCGGGTAGGGTGAAGGAGAGAGAGGAGGGAAAAAGAGAGAGGAGAAAAATACAAATAACTTCTATGAGAGCCAAAAGATTAAATGAGTTCCTTTTTGAACACAAAGTTCACCTGTTTTGGAGAGCAGCCAGTGGCCAGAAGCTGGTGTCCCCTTCCTCCCAGTCTGTGCCGGTCCTCTTTGGCCCTCTCAGGCTGCCAAGGCCACTACTCAGGGTTTGAGCTGAAAAGAAGTAACAGCTAGTAAGGTTTGGGAGGTACATGCCTAAGCAAACCCTACCCCAAATAAGATGCCTACTGTGGTACATGCCTGCAATCTCAGCTACTTGCAAGGTAGACAGGAAGATGACAAGTTTGAGGCCAGAGTGGGCTACATAGCAAGACTCTGTCACAGAAACAAAAGCAAAAATAAAGACAAAACAAAAAAAAAGAAACATGCTGAAGAGCCAAGCTGGTCCCTGATTCTCATTTCCTCAGGCACCTAGCTGACTCAGGCTAGGACTCTAAGACGGAATTTAGGCAACTGCATGCACCCTGAGATGCTCTCTTCAGTGATCTTATGGTTTGTTTCCACTTAAAATCAAAACCTTCACTGATACCAGCAACACTTGAAGAACTGTACCCCAAGGAAAGAATAATCTTGCAGACAAATACAATCGGCCCTCCATATCCACGGATTCTGCATCCCTGAAACAATGGACTGAATATACATGTTGCATCATACACTGGTATGATGCCTGTGTACAGGCATTCTTCTTGTCACTACTCCCTAAACGGTACAGTGTAACAACTATTCACACAGCATTCGAATTGAATTAGGTGCTACTTAAGTAATCTGAAGGAGGTACACAGGTTAAATGCACATTTTACAGAGGGACATGAGCATCTGTGGATTTCGGTATCCAGCCCCACGGATCCCAAGACGTACCTATATTCTAAATGCCCAAGGACCACAAGAGAGTGGGACACAGGAAAGAAAGGAGGCAATCTTTTAATGCTAAATCTATACCTGGCAATAACACAAAAGGATTATGATTTCCCATACTTGATTCAACTCTTGTTGAGCTGTTAACGGGTTTATTTCCTACTCTGGGTTACTTCTAAGAACACCCACTTGAGCACACATGCAACCAAGCCTTTAGCATTGAAAGCGGTGCGTGTACCTCCCAGAGTTGTGGGACTGCCCTGAGATACTCACTCCACTTCCATCTCCTACCTCCTTCTTGGCAAACCACACCTGGGCCTTTCTCCTCTATATTGCCTTTGTACACATATGCACTCACACACACTCACATCTGCAATGCCTACCAAAGGTCCATATGGCTGAGAAGGAGGGGCTAGAGTGAGTGGTGGTGAAGGTACAAAGGCAGGATTAGAGCAGCTCAAGGTTCTTTCCTAGAAGGGATAAGGGCAGCATGTACTTTCTCACTGTTTTTGGAGTGTGGGGCAGTACTGGGGTTTGAATTGGCCTTGTGCTTGCTATGCCAATGCTCTACCAATTCCTCCATTTTTCATATACAAATAATATCAGTTCCTACAGGGTCAGTGTCAGAAGTTCTGTCTGCAAAGGGAAGTAGATTATAGTTCCAGCTTCTGTGCCCACATTATTCCTGCCACACACACCCCACCACCACCATCAGCTTAGGGCTGCCTCAAAGGCACAAATGAATAATGGAGGGTGGAGCCAAGGAACCCACTCTGCAGCCTGGCATGGGAACCTTATGCTGCTCTAGGGACAGTCTGAGGTCTCACAGCCTCAAGACTAGAGGGCCTCTGACAAGGACATCCAGTGTTCCCACCTCAGAGAGGCTGATACCCCTTGGAAGCCCTCAGCAAAGGCAACACACAGCCCTCCCTGACATGTACCTGAGTCACTCTTCCTGCTACAGACTTGGCTCCCCATCTGTCCATCCTCCAGGTGAACAGAAAGAACCAGGTCCAAAATGAGAAAGCTTCCCACATGAAGAGCTCCTCCCCTGTGCATTTCCCATCACCGAGCTTCTCCACAAGCCACCTGCATCCAGGGACACAATAAACACATTCCCAAAGACACACGCACACTGCCCTCTCCTACCTCAGAAAAATCCCAAATCATCCTGACCAAATTCACTGCTAGGGAAGAAGGTACTTTTATCTCTTCCTTCGGGTTCTAGGTCTATTCAAATGAACGGCACTCAGACAGCGAAATGGTCAGTGCTTCCAGCAGGTGTTATACGTCAGCCAGCAAACAGGTACCATACACACAACAGGCAAATGGGCAAAGCTCTGGTCATCCCTTACAAATCTGCTGGAAAAATCTCAATGATCCTACACTGATGTTTCATTTCTAAACGAGCTCCAAACAACAGAGACGTGCCTGTATATACATGCATGAAGTGCCCTACAGGGGTGTCAGAATGGCTTGAAGCACACATATTCCAGAAGCTTCTACATGTAGGAACACATGAGGAGTGTCTGGTTTCCTAGCCAAGAAGTACAAACCAGCTCTCATAAGAGCTCCAAGAAATTAAAGAATAAAAAATAGGAGAATCCAGACATTATTTCCTTCCTCTGTCTCTTGGAGAAGGTAGCAAAGGCCCTCAGAGAGCAAGCATACTTCCCGACACCCCACTTTACCACTCCTGCCCCAGGCCCACTAATCAGAGAAATGAGGGCTGGAACAGGGGACCTGGATAAGAGGCCAAAAGTAAGCAGGTGCAAGCAGCTAGGTATTGGCAGAACTCTGCCTGGCTCAGTTTCATCAATGACAACAGGGCTAATGCCACCTACCTGTGCAGGGGGCAAGAGGACACAATGAGCCAGCCAATGTGAAAAGAGCTGTCTGTGTGAGAGATGATGGGTACAAATCAACTCTCTCCCCTCCTGCCTGAGTCCTAGCCAAAATCCCTGTCACTACACCACGCGGGGGATGGGATGGGTTCAATTATTATTACCCCAGGTGCATGTCCTGCAAAGTGGCCAACGGTGTGCTGAAGAAATGAAGCATTTTTCAAGTCTTGTAGTCTATTTAGAAGATGGTACAACCTGTCCCCTTAACCTCAGAGGTGCCTGCCCTTACAGCCTTGGAGAGTGGAGGACATTTGGGACTGAAGCTGCCATGCCAAAGGTAGGCCAGAGTCTCAACTAATCCTGGCCCCAGCCTACCAGCCCTGGGACCCTGTGCTTTCCTGCATGTGTTTTATTTTAGCACTTTTGAAGACTGACTCAAGATTAAAAAACCAAAGTAGAACTGGCAGCTCTTAGAGCTTTCTTTTTTTTTTTTTAATTTAAATTTATTATCTAATAGAAGGCCTTACACAACCATGAGAAAGGAAGCTAAATATAAAGGAAAACCTCTTAGCACAAGGGGGAGACCCTGAACAGATGCCTTCCCTTGTCCACAGTCCTACACTTCCCCAGGACATAGGGCTAAGCAGGATGGAACACCTGTGTTAGAGCAAGGTCTCTCAAGTCAGCCCCTGCAGTCCAACAAGGGCTGCCCAAGCTCCCACAAGCCTCTCAGGAGCCAGTGTCACATCCTCTGTCACCTGGACAATCCTCATCCATCACCTTTATTTAATCTCTAGCCCCCTTTCTCCTCTTCCTCCTTGGAAGCCCTTCAAAAGCTGACTCCACCCATCCCACCCCAAGTTCATGCCACCAGTGCCCCTTCAAAACAAGGATTCCAGCTGCTCTCAGGCCGTCAATAGCTTTTCCCTTCTCTCACAGTGACTTTGGCCTCCTTTTCCTGTGTTTCTGGCTAAGCAACGTCTCCACAGACATCCAGGAAAGGTTTTAAGAGTTGAGATCTTCAAAAAAGATTATTTTTCAACCCCCTCATGTCATGGACAAGGAAACTAAGGCCCACAGGGGTAAAGTAAGGTTTTGGTCAATAGACCAGGACCAGATTCTAGGTTGGCTGACTCCTCTGCACTGAACAGCGTAATCCCCACCTTTCCAGGCCTCCTCCTCGGGCCCCCCAACCGTACACCATCGAACCCTTGTGCAACTTCAGACCCTGCAGCAGATGGCAGCTTCTGTGGTCTGGTAAGCCCAGCATTGTGTCGGTCCAAGGAGGAAGGCATCAAGTAGCCTGACTCACCCTGGGTCCAGCCATCTCTTCTAAGTAAACAAGCCCTGAGCCCTGGAGCTGTACAAACTGAACTCACGCCTTCCCAGTCTCCAGCACTACCAACCTGCCTCAACCTCTCACAGCATGAAGTAAACTAGAGCACCTGACACAGGCCACTTCTCCCCACCTGGCATCTATCCCTTCCCTGCTGTGACCGTCAGATTCAGGAACTGAGGGTCCCAGCAGAGAGGCTGAGCTCTGAGTCTGCCTCTAGCAAGCACATATTTGACCAGTGACTTGGCAAAGGCCTGACCTGAATGTTCCCTGCACTGCATGGACAAGAGAGGGGCATGGTGACCAGGCTGAGGCACAGAAGCCAGCTGGCATCTCGTCAGGGTGGGAGAAAGAGGGCCAAAGGAGGCCATGGCAAATGGAAAACCTAGTCTGCTGGTTACAGAGGGTTTGAAGTCTCCTGCCTTATTCAGGCCTTGATTCCTGACTCACTACACGCTCCTGTAAGCTATGGGGACCTTGCAAGTATTTTCCTGTTAGGAAAAAAGGGTGCTAGTATCCCTATCAATCCTAACCTTTTGGAGGAAAGTTCAACCAACATGGTTCCCCAGGTGGCTGAGGCCTTCAGTCTTTCTATCCCCTTGACTCCCTTCCTTCTTTTTCTTTGAGACAAGGTCTCCCTATCCTCCTGCCTCATCCCCCATGAGTGTGCTGGGATTACAGGCATGTCAAACACTTGTACCCACTTCTTATTATGATGTCTTTGTCCTTCAACCCCACACAATCTCCATATATGGCTTATGTATAATTTTATAATTTATTATGAACAGTCTTTCTCCACACTAGAATCTATGCTTCTCAATTGCAGAAACATGGTTCTGGTGGGTTTCTACATCCCCAACAACAAGTACGGCCCTTGGCATTTTGGGGAAACACGAATGTGCCTGTCCAGAGGCCCTGGAGGACATCTGCCTCTGTCCTGCCTCACCAAAAAGGCAAGCTGTCCCTGGGATGTGGAAAGGTCCCCAGTGTCTGCCTTTCTCTGTGGTTTGTGTTACTTCTCAAAAATGTCTGACTTCAGCCCACAAGGCTTAGGAAAAAGTACAGACTTTAGAGTTATAAGTGCTGGATTTACATCTCAACAACCCTACTTACCAGCTGTGTGACCTTAGTTAAGTCATTTAATAATCACAGTTCCTTTAACTGTAAGAGGGAAATAACACCTGCGTCAGTCACATGGCGGTTCCAAGGATGAAATCAGATAAGCGAAGGGGGGCCTTAAACAAAGGTCAGTTTCCTTTTACCTGGACGGTACTCAGGGACCAGGAACTCTGATGTCATCTCATACCTTCATGCCTCATTACAGATCTGACCTGGCACCATGCTACCCAAAGTGCTGGGCATTCAGATGCAAATCTTTCACAGGGGACACACATAGACAGCCAGGGCTACAGCAGGCAGCCCTGGTTGGGTACAGAACTTGTTCCTCTCCCCATACTCCTGCCTTGCTCCTGTGGTCCAACATGCACAGCCACCTCCCCACATGACTCTCTCCATTCCCAGCCCCGCGGTACCAGGCTCCACACAGAACATGGGGCTCGGGAGGTGTCCTCTGGCTTCATCAGCCCACGAACGGTTCCTATGGAAGGAACCAGCAAGAGACCAAACCCAGTCTATGCTTTCCTACGGCCACAGCAAGTTCCAGAAGAAAAGAGCTAAACACCGCCTCCCGTGGACAGCTGGCTGGTAGAAAAGGGCAGTATATCTCTGACATATCTCAGAGGGAGACCACACACCCAAAAAAATGACCAGAGCAAGAAAAGAATATTCTCGAAAGCAACAGCTACAGCCTTGGGTGCACTCAAGCCAGAGCTGAGATAGGCATTAAACAATTCACAGCCCTGACAAGACCAGGATTCAGTGGACTAGGGAAGTTGCTGACCAATCAGAGCCTCAGGCAGGGCCCCTCCCACATGATTTCCGGCCAAGCCACGCCACCCAGCTCCACTGCTCAGTTAACCTCTGCTGGATCCCACATGTAAATGCCCCACCCCATGCTGCCTGCTGGCTCCCACACCTCAGGGAGTCAAAGGTCAAGGAAAAAGTTGCAGATTTGCCTAGGACCCTCTGGAGGGTACCAACTGTCCAGCTTGCCTGACTGGCAACACACAATGCCCTGTGAAGTAGCAGAAGCCAGGCTGGTGAGCTGCGGGCAGAGTTAGATGAGGGATGAAAGAGGAAAATGGCCAGGGGAACATGAACCCTAAATCACAGAGGCAACTGTGTGACAAGGAACAATACCAATTTCCCCTCACTCCCCACCTCAGTTTTCCAAATTAGGCAAGGGCAGGGTCGTGCATGGGAGCGATGGTCACCCTGAGCCAGGCCCAGGAACAAGCTGCATATGTGAGAGCTGAGGCTCCCAAGCACAGCCAGCAGTTATGTCTGGCTCCAGCCCTACCTTAGCTCTAACCAGATGACAGCCAACACATCTTGAAGAACTTGGCTGGCTCCGTTTCACCTCCCCAACTGTACCACAGCCTATCTCTGCTCTTTATTTGCACTCCAGCCTCAACACCTCCAGCTGTCCCTCAGACACTCCTGCTACAGGGGCTCAATGTGTTGAGCATCTTGAAGGAAGAGACATAGGACTCAACCAAACCGCCCTCACTTGGCAAGGCTCTCAGGCTGCTCACAGCCAACTCAGAGGCTGGTTTCAAATGGGGAGAAAGAAAAGAGGAAGAACTATGGAGGTAGAATTCACCAGCCTTCCCTAGACTAGTGGTGTGCACGGGGCAAGGAAGGGGAAACACAGCCATGAGACAGCAGCAGAGTGGCAAACATGGCATGGCTAGAAGTGAGATTCCACATGTGCCTCATAAAAATTACCCAGCATCACTCCTTTTCTCTTTAGACCTCACAGATGAGCTGTCCGCTAGTTCCAATGGGCCACACTGGCCGAGAACACTGCAGCAATCCACTTGATGGGAGAGATTTCCTGGTATTATGGCAAGTGCTTGTGGTCTACTTTTGGCAGTACTGGGTTTGAACTCAGGGCCTCATGTTTACTAGGCAGGCATTCTACTACCTGGGCCACTCTGTGAGCCCAGGATGTTATCACTTTTAATCGCCATTGCTGTTACTGTGACCAGCAATGAGTGAGACAGAGAAAAAGCATTTCTATGTCAACTGCCTAGAGATGCTCTGTAATGGTTTCCTGAACCATGACCTTTTTTTTTTTTTGTCTTTTTTCTTTTGTTTTTTAAGGCAAAGGCAAGTGATTCATTCAAAGAAAACCTCAAAAGTAGGGGAAAAGCCCTGAAGCCCACTCCCCCAGATGAAGCCCCATCAAGGCTAAGGATGTCCAAAGTATGACAGAACACCCAGTCAGACTACAAGGGGAGAGAACGTCCAAGGTCCAGGCACTATAGGACCACTGAGGGTTTGATCCCAGAATAAAGCCAGGGGCTCAGGACAGTTTCTGTTCTCTTACTATGGCAGGCCTAACTGCTCTACTGCTGCCTCCATACCTTGAAAGCTACCCAGCTATCTCCCACACATCTAGCAGTCCAGTCAGTTCAGCTGGCTGCCCTTTGTGGGTTACTAACCCCATTCACAGAAAAGCCAGGAGTGGGAGAATGGAAAGAAGAGGGCAATTATTTGAAAAGATTCTGAATGGAGAAGTTTAAGGATTCCCCCAGCGAGTAAAGATTATGGTCTTCACAGGAAGGGAAGAAGGTTGGGGGAAGGCCTGAAGGAACAGTCATACTTAACTCACCTGAGAGGCAGGATCAGTCCTATTTTCCTTACTGCTTCTGGTTTCCAATAAGCAGCCTGACGAGGATCCACTGACAAGACTGGGACATACCTCATCAGTCAACACTTATCATCATGGAACCAGATAAATTGGTGGCTCAACAATGCATGAGAGGGAGGAAGAGAATATCCCACCCAGCCCAACACACTCATTCACCACCCAGCTTCCTCCAGAGGACAGCTGACCCCACTTTGCCAAACTGCAGCAAAGTGGAATTGTGCAGACAGTTGGTGTGGCTCCAGACTGGTAGATGAGTCTGCCTTCATACATCCTAAAGAAAATTAAAGGAAGGAGGAGGAAGAGGTGCAGGAAGGCAAAAGGTCTGAAAGAAGGAAGAGAGGTCAAAAGACATCCTTGGGCAAAACAAGACCAACAGGAAACCAGGAGGAGAAACTGGAGGATGGCGTTTGATGTAGGGCACAACTGCCGCATGCCCTCAGTCTCTCGTTCTTTAAGCCCAACATCCAACTATCAGCCCCTCTTGCCCTCATCCCGCCTCAGCGCCCTCATCCTCATCCAGCATGACCTTTGAATTTATCAGCATCTGAAACAGGGGAAAGGAGAGTAAGATTGGCAGTCCCGAACCAGTCACAGACACACACACCTTCCCAGTCCTTGGAGATGGCTCACTCTCTCTATGTTCTTGTTCTGATAGAAATGCTTCTCTCCGGCAGGCGAGGGCAGAGACGTCTGATAAGAATTGCTTAGCACAATGCTATATATAGTCTAGGTTCCTACCAGCCTAGAGATCTGGAGCTAGAACTTGGCAGAGAACCATGCTAGGTGCTGGCAAGGACCATCCTCCCATAGTCAGCCAATTGGAAGCATCACCTCCCAGCTGGGGGCAGAGAGAGCACACGGGGTCCTTCAGTGCAGTCCATTAGCACTCCTCACTCAGGACACAGGCTGTTGGCTCCATTTTAGGGAAAACTGACTTCTCCCGAATGTGAAGGGAATGTGTGAAGGCAGAACACTTAATTCCAGCCCCTCTGCGGCTCTCCAACAGCACTAGAAAATCAATCTAGTTCTCTCTTCTGAAGGACTAAGGGTGGGTCCACAGGAGAAGAATGGAGAAGGCACAGCAGCTGGGGACAATAACATCTACCACTTCCGATGTTCAAAGAAATAAAAGAATGTACAAGAATATAGACAAATACTTACTGCAAAGAGCAGGGCTGCCAGGCATCTCCTTTTTTGTTGTGAGTGAGCCACTCTACCTGGCAGTACGAAGGCTGTCTTGGGCATACAGGCACCATCCTCAGCTGAGCCTAAGTTGCCAGGAGATTGTCACCCACTCACAGACCAAGCTGCACTTTTGTGAGTTCCCTGTGGGGAAGAAGACAAAAGACGACAGGTCAGCTCAGTGCAGCTCACAGGGCTAACCGAGCAATGTGCTGAACTGCATAGACCCCAGCCAGAATCCTCATTTGGGGTTCGCATGTACCAGACCCTCAGATGCTATCCACCGTGCAGTGAGAAGCAGACGACACTGGGCAAAATGATGTCGGTCTGTTGTATCTACAATACCAGTGGGCACAGGGTCTGATCCAGGAGGGTCCATCACTCTGAGAAAATGATGCTGAGAAACAGCAGAGCTCTCTGAAGCACGGAATTCAGGTTCTCATACACATAGTGCAAGACAAAGAAGGGTGACCCAAAAGGTCCCAACTCCAACATATATACCATCTTTTTAGGTCAAGTTGCTTACTACTCATGCTCAAAACAACATGGCACAGCGGGGCTGTGGCCATCTTTGCACACTGGGTGGGGACAGCTGGCTCCTACTCCTATCCAGAAAGCCCGACTCTCTGCTATGACCTCGGTCACGTCTCCCTGCCTCTGCTGACTCCCAAGGTCCAGGAGCCACTCTACCCAGTGATCCCAAATGAGTCACTCCGGGAGGTCCTTGGGGAGAGGAGGTGCTCCAAGAAAAATGTCAGTGCTAGCATCGGTGATGGGAAAGCATGAGACTAAAAAATGGCACCCGGAGAAAGGAGAGAGGTGTTTGCTCCTTAGTCCCCAACTCTGCTAAGGGCAGCAGAGGAAAGAAAGGGGATAATGGTTTGGCCAGAATTCAGTGCCAGTGGAGGCGCATTTTGTCCCTTGTTCCCAAGAAGGCATGGCGGGCGGGCGGGGCGGGGGGATCACGCGCCTGTAGCGCAATGCTGCAGAATCAAGAAACACCCAGAACCCTGTGCCGCCATGATGACGCACCAAAAAATAAAAGACCAAAGTCAAGAACCCAAGGTCCATGGTTCCCCTCAGAAAATGAGGAAGGTGACGGGAAGAAAAGAAACTCTGAGTTGGGACAATTAGGAAAAGAAAGGCTGCCGAAGAGCTGCGTTTAGCCTAGGATGGAGGACATGGTCCACCATCTTCCCCCAGTGCCCAGCAGAGGACTCCTACTGGGGGCACCTATTCCTAGGGCCCAGGAGTACCACTGTTCACTGGTACCACCCCTGGCCCACCCACACCCTCAATTCATGGCAATGACCACCATGCCCAGCAGACAGAGCCCAGATGAGGTGTCCCAAAGGGTTTTCTGGCCCTGGGAAGATGTGTAACATTTAGGACAGTGAGAAGAGCTCAAAAAAATGTCCCTGTTTTCCAAGCTCACTGAATGATATAATCAGCTGCACTTCCTTTTCCAGCTCTAAAATTCAAGGGTCACAGAGCCCTGTTGAGTTATCTGGTGTCTCTCCCCGCTTCCACCCCAACCCTAAGGTCTGATAGTGGCCTTCTTCACTGCCCAGCCCTCCCTGAAAATGATCCTAGGCTAAGGAATCAGCTCAGAGACCCCAATGAGCTGTTTTTGCTGCTTTCATGTTGACAGAACATTCTGGCCACTCGGCTGAAAGCTCCATCTCCCGGCTCCCGATACACTGAGTCATCTTCCAAAGAGGAAAAAAACAACAAAGCAGCCGTCACCAGGGCCCCCATTGCCGTCGACAAGACGACTCACTGGCTGTCGTCACTCTCTGCTCTGCAGCCCTGGAATTGGTGACAAGGGGCGTCAGGGTGCCCAGCTCCCCTCCCACGGGACTCAACAACGTCAGGAAGCAAGCAGCCACTGCTGAGATTCGGCAAGGGAAGCGAACCTGCCATCAAAAGGCTCCCAGGAAGGCTCACTGCTTAACCCTCAATCTGCCACCACCAGTCCTCACAGCTCATGCCCAGCAAAACATTCCCCTGCAACAGAGGGGCATTTACTCCCAGGAAGGGGGGATAGACACCCCCTTGTGGGCTTGAGGTGCATACTGCCGGGACTCCTCTTCTCTGCTCCTGTTTATGATGCCAGAAAGCACACAAGCTCCCTTCTCCCCCAGTTCCTTCTAGCTGCCTGCTACACTCTTAACTTAAGTCCCCAATAAACCACTGGGGAGGGAATGAGAGCTGCATCCATTGTATTTGTCTGACATTGTAGTGGGCATTTCTGTATAGTACATTATTGTGGCTCTATCTCATGGATTAAGGAAGCTAGGCTGAGAGAAACCGAATGACCTATCTAAAAGCACCCAGCTAAGAAGAGTCAGAATGGGGATGCAGAGTTCTATGTGTCCAGTGCAGTGTCTCTGCTCCTGCCTCAGTGGCTGGGACTCGCCTTCCTCTGAAGATGCTACCTCCACCCGCCTCTGCCTCCTCTTCCAGGAGGAAGGCAGCCAAAACAACCTAGGTTTGTTAATCCATCAGTTTCGGCTACATCTTAAATGAGCCCAGCCACGAAGGAAAAGGAGGAAGTTAATGAAGTAAGCATGGAACAGTTAAGTGACCCAGAACATGGACACAAGAAGACTGGCCACCCAAATTTCCACAAGAGACTTACAACATTCCTTAAATAGTCACATTTGCGGGATCCACCTCATAATAGACATCTTGTAAACACTGAGGATTCAGACAGAAAAAATGCAAAGACTTTGGAAGACCAGGACTCTGACTGTGACCAGACCACTTGCCAGCCATGGGATGCTCCTCACAAGATCATGGTAAAAATAAATGAAATAGTTTCCCAAAAAGAGCCTAATGTGGCTTCTGGGAAACAGAAGCACACAGTAGGTAGTTTTCCTCCTCCTTTCCCGAGCCTTCTTCTTGGAATGCAGACTCTAATAGGTGACAGATGACTTTTCAAAGAGAACCATGACAACAAGTAGAGTATTGTAAAAGGGGCAAAGCATACAGGGTTTGCCCAAAGCAGCAGGGGTAGTTATGGGGACTGCTTCTTGTGGGTTACTCAGGAGGGGTCCTGGGAGACATGGGACTACCACAGGTGGATGCAGCTGAGGACGCATAGGAAATACCACTACTGAAAATGGAGAGACGAAAAGCAAGAAAACATGAGTCACCTGGTTTTACTGGAATATGAGGTCCACCTAGGTAAACTGAGAGAGGTAAGTCTGCACAGGAAAGCTAAGGCCAGTTACAGACAGCCCTGAGCACCATGCTAAAGGGGAGGAAATTCATCCGAGGAACAACGAGAAACCATTTTAAATTTCTGAGCAAGAAAGACAAGATGGCCGCTGCACGCAGAAGGGCCTGGAGAGGAGAGGGACGGGGCAGCAGGGAGCCTCACTAGAGGATGGCATCTGGATCCGTGGCACTGGCAGGGGGCATGGAGAAAAAACAGGGAGAAAAAATGGTGAAAAGACAGGGCCATCTGAACAAATCACGCACACTGCCATGGACCCCACTGCCTGTCCCCATGGGGAGGCTGCTAGAGACAAGAGCCTATTTGGGGAACACAAACCACAGGTCTGACACGTCTGGGATGAGCTGCCGAGCCTCTGCCTCCACTCTCCTCCCAACACTCAGCTCTTCCCTCAAGCAGCTTTAAGCCTCAGGCCAATGAGGACGTGGGAAGCCCAAGGTCCATGTTCTGGCAAAGGTGGAGCCCCAGGCTATGGAACCCCTACCCAGAAAGCTTCTACCTGGACCCCCCACCCAGGGTTGTGTCCGAAGATGGGACTGGAAATTCTGCCCCTGGTCCACCACCGTCACTGCGGCAGCCGCCACTGTGCCCGCCTCTGCTGCGCCTTCACCCCCCCTCCTCCATCATAGCCCCCACCCCCCGCCCACTCTGCGGAACTGGCACAGCAGGACAAGAAAAACCAACGCCACCAGCCACCATGTGAGAGACAAGCAAAAACGCCTTCAAAATGGCAGCCGATCAAAGGAGTCCAAAATATTATAGCCCACCCAAAGAAAAGAGAGCCAGTAAAAAGGGGAGGGGAGTGTCAACGACCTCCCGGTAGGCCCTGACACCTTCCTTAATGCTCACATGGTCATGTCTTCTTCCAAAACTTACTCCCCCAAATCTAAGAGGATAGGAGGTAAGGAAAGGTACCACCCTTTCTTCCCAGAGAGACCCCAGGGGCCACAGGTAACACAGGACATTGAGAAGGACGTTTTGTGGCCCATGCCCCAAGATGGGACAGCAAACCATTTCTGACCTCAAACCTAGTCCCAGTCACTAACTGGACAAGTGCTAGCCCTTCTAGGGAGTGAAATCTTCCACTGCTTTCCAAATTAGACCCTCCCCAACTCTGTGGGCTCTGTGGAGGGAGGAGGTAGGGTTGCAAGGAAGGGCCGAGAAGGCACACACCGTGCCCTGTGTTATGTAACAAGGGGGGCGGTGCTTGTCCTAGGCCAGAGACCCAGGGCGCACTGCGCTCCCAGATGCGCAGTCATGGGTGGGGGCCACTGCGCATGGCGCAGGGCTCAGGAAACCCCCTCCCCACAAATGTGAGACCTGCCTCAAGGCCAGGATGAGGAACCAGGACCCTGATTTTTCCAGTTCCCGCCCCCCACCACCAGAGGTGAATTCAGCCTGCTGCTCCCTCTCATCTCTGCCTCTCCTGGTTCCTCAGTTCTGACCTGGGATCTCCAAACCTCTTGTCACCCATTGGCCTTCTGGAAATTCCCACCGAATACATGGTTTCTGGGCAATTCCCTGGTCAGTCCCCGTGCTCACCTTTCCAAGCACCGGGCAGCAGCAGCTTCCAAAAGGCAGATCCTTCCTACAGTGGGCTCAGCTCACAACTGTCTCTTGAGGACCTCTGGACAGCCCCTCAACACTCTCTGGACAGCCCCGGACGTCAATGCAAATCTCTTGTCCCCAGGGAGTAGCCCAGAGTCAGCAGGAAGGCCAGGGTGGCGGCAACAGCAGCAGCAGCAGCTCTGCCCTACCTTGTTCAAGCGTTTCCAGGGTAGCCAAGAATTATTTTGTCGCAACACTGAGGTGTGTCTGATTGGAAAATTCCCTTTTCTAACACCTAACTAAGGGACAAATATTTTCTTCCAATTTGGTCAACCAGCTGCGCACCCATCTTCCAAACCTTCCTACCTCTAAATAAAAAAAAAAGAAAGAAAGAAAAGTTTGGGGAGCCCCGAGCTCTTCTTCTTTATAGTGCTTGAAATTTAAAAAGGCATAGAAAGAGGCTTCGAGTGGGCAGTCAAAAGCAGGCAGACACCAGAGCCTACGCACACCCCTAAAGAGATTTTAGAAAGCTGCTGGGTTTCTCCCCCCTCCCCTTTAAGCAAGTGAAATGCAAATTCAGATTTGATACCCTGTCCTCAGCCAATCAAAAAAAGCTTTTCACCTGCCACTGGTCCTCCCACCAATCAGAGGAAGTGTCTGGAGTGAGAGCCCTCCCCTGGCCAATGGAAGGCCAGCTCAGTCACTTAGTTAATGATGCAGCAGTACAGGGAAGGCCATCACATGTGAACTGGAATGGAGCCAACATGGAGACACAGAGAGCGCAAGGTAAACAACTTTCCAACGCCAAAAGGATGACATTTAATCTCTAAATGCTAGCTTCCCTTCTCAGCTCATCCTTAACCTCTCTAGGCTGCCCCGCAGACCCCCAAAGCCTTACTACCTGTCCCCACAGAGCTCCTAACAAGATGCAACAGTGACTGCGTCATCATTCCCCACTTTTCCCAACTACGCAGTGACAAACCTACCAGCTTTACCCCACTTCTCCCAGCCCACACCCCACCCTGTCCACCACTCCCCCCAGCCCCAGGTCCCCAGGGCCACACATTTCAATAAGGTAGCCCCTGGAAAACCTGTCCCTCTTGCCTTCCTCTTGGCACTTCTCCTCCTCACTCCTTTCCTTCCTTCCATGTAAGACCTGTACAGACAGATGGACGCTGATGCCCAAACAACCTGGAAAACCAGTCTGTCTGTCCACCAGAAGAAAATAGGGTAAAGGCTGGGAGGTCAGGTGGGAAGCTGAGGACGGCTCACTCCTCACTCCTCTACCCTGGTCAGGCTTGAGCAGCTGACACTAAAAGAGAAGAAATTAAAGTGTGGGGAAAAAACCTCCCTCAGAGGAAAAAAGAGCAAAAAAACGAGAAAGAAGGTGAGAAAGGCAGAGCACCCACATACGCAGAGACAACTGCCCCTGATCCCAGAAATACGTACGTGGGGGAAGAAGCGGGTTACGCCATCAAGTCCTGAAGCCCATCAGACCACCCATAGTCGCCTGCGCAGACCCAAATCTCTGTCCAGCCTTAAGGTGCCGCAGTCCCGAATGTTCCAGAATCCGGTCCTGTTAAGCCTTCTGCTGTCGCCCCGCAACCTCTTGCTCCCACTCCTGCCCCCCACCCCACCTCCTCCCCACGGGAACCGCCCGTGCCACCTTGCATGTCATCTCCTTAGCCTAGGCTACCCAGAGGCCTCTGGCCCCCAACAGATTTCTAAACGCTTGGCAAGTGAGCTGGCAAAACCTGGTGCCCAGTGTTGCTATGACTTGTTTCTTGATTTCTCTCTCTCTCTCTGCTGCAGCACGGCTGTTGCTAGCAGACCTATCGACGGAGCTCGCTCGCTCTCTCTCTCACTCTCTCTCTCTCTCTCTCTCTCTCTCTGAGCTCTGTGACGCAGATCTAAATTCTCCAGTCTGCTCCTTGTGTTGCAAGAGCAGAACTGCAGCTTTTCCCCTGGAGAGCTGGAGGGCAGTGCCAAGGCTGGTCAAACAAGGCAAAAAAAAAAAAAAGTTGGGCCTACGCTCTATTTCCTTGGCTGTACATTTCCGCCTTTTCCCCCCATACCTCAAGGCTCTGGGGCATAGAGGTCCCTGTCCCTGCAGGCTCACTCTTTCCTGGAGGCTTCCCAGCCACAGACTGGCTTAACTCTAAGTGGCAGACCCTGAGCCCAACCAGGACTGCCCCATGCTCAGGTTGCATCATCTTCTCATGAGCCATCAGGGTTTCTTTCAGTCATGGGAAAGAGTGGTCCTCATCCTGCGACCCCCATCCCATTAACTCTTTCTGCCACAGCCAAGTCCAGAATTACAGAACATATCTGATTTCTCTTGCTGTTGTTGTTTTTGCCTTTTTGGCCATGAACCCGGGCCAATTTTTCTCCCTGAATTTCCTAAGGACAAAAAGAATAATTAAAACATTGCCTGCTTACCCTCTAAGTAAGATCCTTCCATCAGGGCAGTATTTGAAAAACCAAACTGAACAGTAGCCTGAGGAGTCCAGGGTAAAATCAGTCTGCCATTTCCATTCTTCCAGGATTCAAAAATTTGGGGACTAGGAAGGTAAGTCCAATTTCTTCCCTAAATGCTCATAGGCTACACAGTCTCAGAGATTCAGGTTGCTGAGTCATTTGTTCCCAAGAAGATGCTTCTGACAATACAAAAAGCAGCAAAAAAGAGTGATGGCCAAGCCTGGACCTGAAAGTGGTCACTCTCTGGGATGTCCAGCCAACCAAGATAAGTATCCACCACCCACCCCAATCCTGCTACTACGGTAAAGCCCAGGCATCCACACACCTGCAAACTCATAAGGTTCTACTGATGCTCTGGAGACCGACTGGGGTTGTTTTTGGATACTGACAGGTTTCTACTGCAGCAAAGCACAGAGCTCCCAACATCTTCCTGCCCTCCAGACCTATGGATTCTTCCAAGAACAGCTCGAGACACTAACCCACTAGACCCAGACACACCTACTGAGTGTCAGGTTCCCATGCCTCTACGAGCAAAGAGCACAGGCGTGCAAAGGTTCCTAACAACCAGCTGCATGATATGCACCTGGACCTGACCAGACGTGGGATGTATTCAGGTCCCAGGGCAGTGGATTCACAAGGTGTATCACACTGAGAACCTTGTAATTTCGAAAAAGATGAATAAGAATGAGAAGCCAGGCAGTCACCTAGTTCAGACTCCTTTCCCAAGCAGCCTTCTTGAAGCAGCTACTCTGGGCCAAGCAGAAAGAAGGACCACTTGGAAGACAACCATGGCACTACATGGTTTTAAAAGAAGCCCGTGCCAGGCTCCCTGCAGGGGGGAAAGTGCTTCAAATTCACACCTTCTGGGCTCCAGGGTAGAGCATGCCAATAAAGAAGTCACCTACTGGTCTGATGACCAAAGGAATGTGGCCTTGATGGCACTAAAGCAAGTACCCAGGAATGGTCCTCTGCTAACTCAAATCCCATTTGCCATACTTTCCTTCTCCATGGAAGAAAAACATGCCTGAGTTCATGTCAGGACATTCCTGATTTATCCAAGAGCCCAGGATCAAATAAACAAAGGGCTCTGAGCTCTGCCAGGGAGCCTCCTCCTTCAGGAGGGAGAACCAGAGGGAAGAGGCTCGACAGAACTGGCCCATCACCCCCACGAACTTGGTGAGTGACGCGGTTGCTCACTGCCATGGTAATGGAGATGTGGGTGGAAGTGAGCGAGAAGAGGCAAGTAAGTCGTGACAGACGGAGTGACAGGGTCAGAAGAGGGACACAGGGCCATGGAAATTTGTAGAGAGAAGCCCACTGTGGTCTACAACCACAGTGAAACTGAGCTTGAATCATCAGTACAAAGATAAGTCCCCATTGCAGAGGCACTGCACAGACCAACTGGGACTTGCAAAGCACTACGGTGATGACGCTGTGTGGGAAGGCTTTGTTTCGTTTCACTTTTTGTCTAAATCCTTTTATTCCCACAATCTGGTTACCCTTCCCACAATTTTACTAGGATTAAAACAGTCATCTTAGTTAGGTGCTTCTGCCTAAAAATTCTAGGTCTTCCTTACAATACTGATTCTGCCTGGTGCCCAGAACAGAAAAACCTGAAGAGGATGACAAGGAAGCAGACATAAGTTCAGTTCCAAAAACATGGGAGGATGTTTACTCAGTCAGCACGCTCAGGCCCACAAGGAAGCAGTTTTACAGGGTGCTGTGTGTCGTGTTTGATTTCAGGGGGTAAAGATCACTCTGGAGCCGGGAGAAGGTGCTGCCTCCTTCCATTCACCCCTGGAGGCCTGCAGGGCCAGTCGACTTCAGGGAAGTCAAAAAGGCAGGATTTCACCTTCAGAACCCATAGCCCACGGTTCACCGGGTCCCCAGTGTCTCTGCAATCAGATGCCTTGGGAACTAAACAAACTCCCCAGACATGGAGAGCACTCTATGGCCTCCAAGTGATCTGGATCAAAACTTCAAAATGCCAAAGACAACAACTTCTTTTTCTTTAAAGGGAATAAGCTGAATGAACTTTGACCCACCCTTGTCCAGGGTGTGGAATGCAAGCACCGTGTGCCAGCCACAGACTCCATTCAGCAGGCATCATGGGGAAAGCAGGCTTCATGCTGGCCTCTCTGTCCTCCCGTTTCCTCATTAGGGCCGGCTCTACAGGGACTGGGTCTTTATTCAGTGAACGAAACCATGCTCTCAAGACAGGAGCTGCGTAAGAGGCTGACTGCACAGTCTGCTCCGGTATCTAGAGCTAGAGTGGGTGTTCCAGATAAATTAGGCAGCGATCTGGTCTCAGGCAGAACTAGCAGGCCAGGTCCACTGTGAGATGGCATTTGTTTACCACCTGGGAGTGGGCATACAACTGGCATTTGGTGATCCCCTGAGATAAATCATTATTAAGTACCTACTAGGTGCTAAGCCCACGCACAGCACAGGAGAACAGGAAATAGGCCAGCACCTCAGATATACACACTAGCTGAGAATACTATAGACAGTCCCAATTTGCATTACTAATTTTTCAAAAATCTTGTTTAAAAGCTGGAATTCAGTTTCCCATTGAAGTAATACTAAACATACTAGTTGGAGACCAGACATAGAGGCTTATGCCTGGAATCACAGCTACTCAAGAGGTGGAGATTAGGAGAATCACAATTCAAGGCAGCACAGGCAAAAAGTTAGCAAGAACCACCCCCCCACACCCTGTCTCAACTAATAATCGAGGGATGGTGTTCTGTACCTGTAATCCTAGCTATGCAGGAGAACTAGGTAGGAGGATTATGGTCCAAGGCCAACCTGAGCAAAATTGTGAGACCCTATATAAAAAATAACTAAAGCAAAAAAGGTTGGGGCATGGCTTAAGTGGTAGAGCACCTCCCTAGCAAGTACAAGGCCTTACGTTCAAACCCCGCCAAAAAACCCATACTGGTTGGGTTCCCAGGCTAGCCCACAAAAGTCTGTTCTATCCCTTCCAGAACAAACCAATTCCAATGCCTTCAGGGGACAGACAGGTAATAAAGGAATAAAGCTAGCTGGGGAGGGAATGTGCCAAGTGACGGGAACACATCAATCCTAACGGGCAGCCTCTTCCGGGCTCTGCCTACTTGGGGCCCTCTGGGGATGGAGACCAAAGGACTCCAGATTGTCCAACCTCACAGGACAGGAGGGTAATTTAGCTTTACTATGTTCAACTCTTTATTTTTGAACAGTGCCAAAAAATTTTTTGAAGTCCAAACATACCTACAAAGTTTCTAGTTTTTCTCCATTTGCAACAAAAAAGAGAAAGGAGTACCACCAGAGTGAAGAATCCAATAAAATAAATAAGGATCTACCCAAAAAGAAAAACTACCTCACAGTTGCTCAGGTAAAGAATGGCTCAGAGGAACTGGAAGGGAATTTAAGCTTTGGGCCAATGGTTGTTAACCAGCCCCTCCAATGGTGCAGGTGGAGGGGAGGATGGGAATTATTTTTAGGTATACACAATACCATTAAAAAACTAGTATTTATGACACTCCCTGCCCATGAGAAGTACAGAGCTGTCAGGCTCGTATTCTGGCTCTCTCTCCCAGCCCAGAGCTGCTTCTCTGAACTTCCACAAAAAAGGTCTGTTCAGGGCTTTGGTGATAAGACTGGCAGGTATTATAATCCAGTGGCCCATCCAAGGCAGAGGCCTTCCATTTACAACACCAAGACCAAGTCACTGCCTACCTCTATCTGATTCAGTAACTCCCACCTCACTTTGGAAGACCAGTCGACTGAAGAACAACTGAGACAAAAGCTCCCCATAGGTAAATACTAGCCTTCCAGTCTTTGCTCTGCCTCTGGAGCTCCAAAGAACAAGCCTACTCCCCCAAAGTCTTTGAGATATTTTAGGATAGCCCTTAAAACCACAAGTTTTTAGGCTCAACAAGAAGGTACAAAAAGGGAAATGAAAAAGGAAGGGGAAAAAAAGAAGCCAGAGAGAAATATGCTTAAAATAGCTGATCAAAAGTTGACAAGCAAAGGAAAAGAGGAAGAGACACATGCAGCACTCATGAGAAAGGAGGTAAGGTACGTGGGGCAGAATAAACAGCTGGGTGAGGCAGCACGTGGGAAAGGAAAGCACCATCCCCACTGAGAAGGAAATGACAGTTCCCAAGGCCAGCCACCAGGCTGTGCCAATGATCCAGGACACATGGATTAAAACCTGGAACTGGAGAAGAACTGTGTATGACTCACAATTCTTAAGTATGTAACACTCTTTTGCCTTTTTGTGAGGAGGGGTTCTTTCTCTTTCAGGTTTATTGGGAGTTTTTTACGTATTCTGGATACAGATTCACTTGTCAGTTGTAGGTATGGCACATAGCTTATCTATACTGCTTGATTTTGCCTTATTTTATGGATCTCATGATGATCTGAGTTCGTTTTAATGTTGTCCTCTAGAGCGAGTGATTTCTGTGTCTTCTTTAAAAACTACATGGTTATCCCTAGATTATGAAGTTACTATTATCTCATTGATGAAATTTTATTTCAACTTTCACATTTAGATAATGTTGCTGAATTTATTTTTGTATGTGGTCAAGAACCATTTCTTTGTAGAGATCCCCTTGAGCTAGCACTGTTTATTAAAATATTTCCCACTGCCCAGTGGGTGACATTTTGTTATACATCAGGTGTCCTGACATATATGAATCTGCTTCTGGGTTTCCTATACTCTTTCTTTGGGCAGAAATAACATAAAGCCCAGCATGGTAGCACAGGCTTATAATCCTAGCCCTTGGAAGGCTGAAGAAGGAGGTCAAAAGTGTAAAGGCCTGCCTGGGTTACATACAAATACCCTATTCTAAAAAAAAAAAAAGAAACCCACAAGGGCTGGGTTAGGCACTTGCCTACCATGCTCCAGGTTCTGGATTTATTCCCCAGCATCACAAAAAAAAGCAAAAACAAAAGAAAATGGGTCAATTATTGCAGTAAGGATCACTAATGTTAAAGTTTAAGAAAACATAAATGCGAGAGTCAGTTGTGTGAAATGAGCTTCCACATGGCAGGCATAATGGCGAGGGGGTGGGGGAGGCGTTGTTCAGGTTGGGCTTCTCAAGAGGAACAGGATGAGCAGGAACAAAGAAAAGCATCACAAGTTAAGGAAGGGGACAAGGAGAAAAGCACAGGGTAAAAATAAGTCTTATTTTCTGTAGACAGAAACAGAAGGCTTAAGAGTACAATGCACACAGTTCAAGAAATAACCTGTATTTGGATATCCTTGCCGTGTTACCTACGGCAAGTTACCTTGGTCATTCTGAGCCTAGGTTTCCTAACCAACAAAACGGGGGCCATCTTTCTCATTGAGCTGTGAAGATCCAACAAGCTCACTGATCTATGTCTCTTGATACACAGACTTGCACTGGAGTATTTAAAACCTGCTGGGTTGTATATGATCATGGTGACACTATGGAAACCAGTTGGCCTAATGGAGCAATCCTGCCATTCCACAAACATTTACTGAGTATATATTACTAAACAAAGATAGTACATTAAGTGGTCAAATGCACTGACTCTCAAATGAGATGAGTTTGTATCTGAATTCTTGTGCCAGTTCTTTTCTAGTTACATCGACCTTAAACAACTTATCTAACTTTACTCTTTCTAGCTTCAGCTTCATCCATACTTCAGGGTATTTTCTTAGGGATGGTATTATGAGATATAAAAGCATTTAGCACAAAGCCCACAAAAACAAAGGTGATTGATTAATCCAGCTACCACTGTGATGGTGACACCAGCAATGACAATGATGATTTTGTACATGGTACAGAGAAAGGGCTACTAATACCTCAAAAGTCCTACCGTCCCTAGCAGTCTCGGGATTTCCAACCAAGTACTGACCAGACATAACTATGCCTAGCTTCTTACTTTTTAAATTAGCATATACTCATTGTACAAGGGGGATTCGTTGTGCCAATACCCAATAGCCTTGCACTGTACATTGGTTAGGTCACCCCCACCATCTCACCAATGCAACCCCTCCCTGCCCCACTTAAAATAATGGCAAGAAGTTCCATCATTCTATTTCATGTATGTACAGGAAGTCCATGAATCATCTTCCTTCACCTTCATCTCCTTCACTCACCCATCCCCCTTCCAAAAGTAACCCCCACACACACACACTGTACCTATTTTACAGTCCTGTCTTTCACGTTAATTCTAAAATCAATGTTCAAAGTGGTTTCTTTATGTATTATCACTGTGACTATCCTTAACTTTGGTCAGTTCAACCCCTTTGTGAGTAAGTAGACAAGATCAAGTTTGTTCAGGAAGAAGGCTCAAGAAAGTAAGAGGCTTGCAGGAAAAAGTATGGAGAAACCAAATAAAAACCAAGTTAACTGGGGCAGTTCAATACCTGGTAGGAAGAGATGAATTTCTAATCTCAGGAAAATTCAAGAAATATATAAATATATATAAATATTTATCACAAAAGGCCAAAGAGTTTGAGAATGTGCCAGGTGGTCTGTGGAAGGAGTCAAAAATGGTACCTGCAGATACCTGACTGCATTTGTGGGGAGAGGATTCCTCAAGGAGCACAGCCATTAGCAGCTCAGATCAACAGTGACAACCATCCATGGGCAGCCTTCGGCCATGAAGACCACGTCTCAGCCTCCTAGAGGAACTGTCCCAGAGCCACTGAGCAGGTTTTCCTATTAAATCCCCAATCCGAGGAACTATGGCACTTTCACCCAGGTCACTGAGCTGCAGCAAAACAGTCCTGACAGTGATAACAAACACTCCAAGGACACAATGCAGTGCCAGGTGCCAAGTGAAAATCCGAGAGACAAGGGCTAGGGACGGGCTGTGCTGGAGAGTAGGACCTGGCAGAGGTGAGACACAGACACGGACGTAGAACACCACCACAGACGGGCAGCTGGAGCCAGGCGGCAGATAGTAAGTGGCCTGGCAGACGCTGGTCCTGAGAATGCGGGACTGCCCCGACTGCAGGGTGATGGAAGATTCGTGACAGCCACATCATGTCCTGAATACGCAGCACAAATAGAGGTGAACTCCAGCACCCACAGAGGCTCCGCTGGAATACACCCAAGGGCAATATGTGAGGGCACGTTTGGTGGGAAGGTCAGGACTAGGACAGCAGACTTTGTGACCAGTGTGTCCTGTTTGTAAGTAGGCGCTTTCTCCTGGACAGACTGAGTCAGTCTGTCTCTTGGGCCAAAAATCTAGGCTCCAAAGTGTCCTGCCCAGGCTGGCTCCCATCACCTCCTAGAAAAGTGAAAGAAGCCAAAGCATCCATCTTGTCCTAGGCCACTAATCATTAAATCTAAGTTCCCACCCCAGAGGGCTCACAGCTCAACTGCAAGCAAAACCCTGCCTGGCAAAAGGATCAGCACCTGCCAGTCTGATGATGCGGGAGGGCCACTACACTGGCCACAGTCTCTGGCCCAAGAGCTTCTAGTGCTGCCCCAAATGCAGAGGCACAAAGTCCTCTTGGGACTCGGAGGAACTCAACGTGCCTCTTGGCTGGCTGCTCTTAAAATCCTGGCCCTGTCAACGGATGGAAATAATTTCCAGAGATGGTGTGTGGCTGGGCCACGTGAGTAAGACTGAAGGATCAGTACCCCATTCCTCAACAGCACATCTGTATAGCTTGTTCCACAGGTCAGACAAACAGGGACATAGGGGTCTTGGCCAGAGGCCCTCCAGGCACAGGCTAGTGCCCTTAGATGTTACTGCTGCTGTTGGGGTGGGAGGAGCTGTCTCTAGGGTACACAGAACCTGGGCAACTGATGACTCACAGGGCTGTGCTGACCTCTGGGTGACCACATGGTTTAGTGCCATATGACTTAAAAATGGAGCCATTTCCCTGCCCCGGAACAAAATCCTACTTTGCTTAACTGAGGCAGATCTAGGCATCAAGAATCATGAACACAGTAGGATGGGGATTCCTGACACACCTCTGACTTGAGTCTTCATTTCCATACTGCTTCATCCCCCATACAGAGGGATGTGCCCGTACCTGCAGCCTGAGACATAGGATGACAGAGAACAGGACTGGGCACATGTCCAAGCTTTCAGCAACCAAGTGCCACCCTTGTCAGGAACTGGAGAAGGGATAAGACCTCCAGTTCAAGGCTTCTCATGTGGGGGTGGGAGAAGGGCTGAAGGCTACCTAAAACATAATAGTTAGTATGACGATTTGGGGAAATCTCTGAGATACATTCTTTCAAAATGGTTTTCACAATGTGAAGCCATACCAAAAGTATGGTTCCACAAAATCTGTGATGACGTAAATGAATATATCCTCCGCATATGGAGAGCCGAGAGTAGGAGAGAGGAGGCCATTGACCAGAGTCCCTGGGGATAAAGCAGACCTCTGGCTTTTTGCAGAAGGAAGGTGCTAGAATGTCACTCTTCCAGAGGGTTCAGCTCTCTCTCTGATGCCCTCTGGGACCTGCACACAGCATTATTCTCAGGCTAGACTCTGACCCAGGCCTCTGAGGCCAATGTTCTCTCTCTAAAGGCAGAGCAGCAATGCCAGCTTTACCTTAAAGACAAAGGATTACATTCAGAAGTTCTCCCAGTGCCATGCAACTTAGGGTAAGAGGAGCACCCACCACTCTCCAACTGCCTCCCTCTGAAAACCTCAAAGCCTTCAGAGGCCAGGGTGAACACTGAGAAAGCAAGTAGAGCCTTCATGTATTCCAAAGAAGAGAATGTTTAAGGCCTACTGTGTCATGAATGGTGCAAGGCATTCTGAAGAGTTCTGCCATGGATGAGCCAGCAAGGCTCCCTGTCAACAGAGGTGAGTGACCTAGGAAAGCAGAACACCTGGAGAATAGTTGGCTTCTCAGACCCACCCCAGCCTTCCAAACAAGACAGCTCAAGTCCTGCGGTGTCTCTGGGCTAAGGCCCCTGCAATACCACTTGTTCTGCACCTCTCTGAGGAAGGAGAGCTGGGTGGGGTGGCAGCTGCAAGCTCATTGTGCTGGGGACACAATCAAGAAGTTTCTAGGGAGGGTGACATGAAGAAAACACCTCTGACACTTCAGAGAGCCCTGAGTCACCAGAGGGTTGGAGAACATAGGACAGAAGGCATTGAGATGCTGAGATAAGCTCGGGACTCCCCAGCCCACTTCCCCAGAGACGTCCTTTCCTGTCAGTGGAACACCCCTACTCACAGAACCCTTCCACTGACCCCGTGGTCAGGCAACAGCAACCAAAGTGAGGTCACACAAGAGCATTAGCCACCACTCCTTCCCCAACCACACAGTATCTCTTCCTCATTCAAATGACCTGCTGGACAGACTTTGGAATACTGGGATTATAAAGTACCTTGGATGTCAGCTGGCCTCACTGTGCACCAAGTAAAAAAAGAATCAGCCATGGGCTTGAGTCTTAGGTGTGGGATCTTGGGTAGGTTACCTCATCTCTTGGCCTCAATGTTCTTATATTTAAAAGAAGGCCAACAAGCTCAGCAGACTCCTTCCAGGGTGTTGTGCAAATTGAGTGAGTCCATACAAGTAAAGCACTTAGTAAGTATTAAGCGACCGATGGTTATTCCTGTTGTTTTTATTACTAGCAACCCTGCAGAGTGGTCACTTCCTTAGCATGCAAATACTGTGGGACCCACAGAAAGGGTACACTATCTCATGGGGTTCCCCAGCTTCCTTCCCTCATGGGCTTCACAGCTCCAAAAGTAGGAAAACAATTCAATTTGGTACACTGACATCCACCTCCCAATCTCCATTGCCCACTGACTTCAGTACTGCCCCTGGTATACAACAAAGTACACTTCCCCTGATAGTCCTTTAAATATATAATACTGTGCTGGGGAAAGACCCACCTCTCTGGGGTGAA